CCCCCCCCCCCCCCCCTCGGCCCATAGAGCCAAACAGCGTGTTTTGATTGCTGCGGTTTTTCTCTCAAGTTTTATGTGCAGCGCGAGACTATAACGAGCCGCCCGTGCGTGGTTCTGTGTGCTATCAACGACAACGACGGAAACAACACAGGTGGAGAAGCTTTGGGAACACGCCTTCCGCGATCGCTTGCGAGCGGTAGCCTCGGAGCGGCCAGTGCTCGTGGCGGAGGCGTCGTGGAGCACCGTCAAGGAGCGGCGGGGCCTGATGGAGCTCATGTTCGAGAAGTTCGGAGTGCCGGCCATGTTTCCGGCGAAGAACGCTATGCTCAGCGCGTTTTCGGCGGGGCGGGCGACGGCTCTGGTGAGAGAGCTACAATCAGATGGCTGCTGGTGTTGTAGCGCAAGGAAGATGTGTATTTACCTCGAGTGGCGCTCGTGGGAGGTGGCTGCTGTTGTTGTAGCGTAAGAAGTTGGGGAGGGCGGTGCCTACGTTGACCGAACCGAACCGTTGGGGTCATGTGCTTGAAAGCAAGCCCTTTTGTGCTGAGAAACAGCCGCCTATGGTAATTACGAGTTTTTCATCTGCTTTCTAGGCGGCACGTGGAGCACGGTGTGTTCGTGTCGTGCGGCTCTGCGGTACATTTGGTTCAAGATGCCATATAGCCACGAGACGCGAAGACGAGAGATGCTGCCGATGATGGCGACGCATTCCGTTGTGCTGGACTCTTTTCCTTGATTGCCCTTCTGCAACCTGAAAGCCAGGAACGGCAACGACATTAGCGAGCTTGTTTTGCACTCATTCCAGGAGTTCATGCCCCCCCCACACACAGACGCTATATGTAATTCCACATGCTCATTTGCGACACAAGCATAGAACTGAAAATGCGAACTTGTTGGAGCGGCTTCTAGGAGAAAAATCAGTGCTCGTTTCGCAAGGGATGGGTGGTCAATGGTCAGGTGACTAACGCAGCAGCGACGAAGACTCTCGCCCCCCCTTCCCGCCCCGTTTGGTTAGCCGGGATGCCCTATCAACCCATGGCATATCTGGTTTGATGCAGCACACGCAAGAATGATGACCAGCTTCTGGTGCATCATTGTGAAGTGTGGCCTGGGCCGGCGAAAATCCGGCATATCGCTCCATCCCAGCATTTTGAAGGAATGCCAGGTCAATGGTCCAACGACTACGGCATGCGTTGACATGAGTACCCCTCCCCCCCCCCCCCCCCCCCCCCCCCCCCCCCCCCCCCC